GGCTCAAATTGGAGAAGAAGAAAGAAGCTAGAAAACAAAAGAAAATCGAACTGGCTGGAGGAGAGAAACATTCAGATGCGGCAATATAAAATGAATTGTGATATGCTCCAACAATTGCTTGCCAAAAAAGTTTGTGCCCCGTGTGAAGATCAAATGATCATTGAACTCTAAGAATACATCAGCAAATTTAGGACATTTTAATGTTATGTTATGGAATAGGTTGCATTGTGTTAGTGCTGTGTTTTAAGTTTTTTTTCATTCAATGTTTTCAGTTTCATGTTGGGTTAATTGTGTTATGTTTAGTTTAATGTGTCTGTCGTTTTATGTGTGAAACATGTTCACGTGATTTGTCAACTCCTTTTCAGAATCTTACCAAAATACTAACTTTTCAAAATCCAGTAGCATATACATTTCAGAATTGAATCCACTTGATTTGGTGACTCTAATTGAATACTTTTCAAAAGCCTAATAGTACTTTTTAGACTTAATTTGATGACTTTTATTTTAGAATCCATTTATTACATGTGATGGACTTCCATGTGATGACTTTTCAGAATCCATTAAGTTGTCAATTCTACATAGAATTTTATTTAATTTATGTGATGCCCTAGTGCATTTACATCATCGATAATTTTTATATAAGAACAAACTACGGCTACGAAAGTGCAATCGCTCTTTGTCAAAACCATAATCTTACTCAAACGATCAAAACCATAATCTTATTCTGAAACTTACAACTTTTACTCTTTCAAATAACAAACAAAGAAAATGGATTCCTACATAAGTAATAGAAGCTCCACTGATAGCTCGGGTGAGGATAGAAAGGTAGCACTAGCTCGAGAAGAGAGGGAAATAGATGACATGATTGACACAATCACCTTCACTTACCTCCCAATCCTAGCCTCGATAGCAACCGCTCCAACACGGGGCTCTCGCAAATCTGTTCCTCGTGGTGATAGACGGCGTGAAGAAGATCATGTGCGGTTGTATAATGATTACTTTGCAGAAGTTCCAGTCTACCCAAGTGACCTTTTATGACGTAGATTACGAATGCACAAGCATGGGTTTGAACCTGTTATGTATGCAGTAACATAAAATGATGCATGGTTCCAACAAAGGAGAGATGTTACTAGGCGTCTAGGCTTGTTACAAGCATGGGTTTGAACGTGTTATGTATGCAGTAACATAAAAGTGCACTGGAGCAATTAGGCAGCTGTCTTACGGTTTAACCGCCGACGCTTGTGACAAGTACATAAGAATAAGCAAACGTATTGTGAAGTTTCCATTAGAAAAGTTTGTCGAAGGTGTCATCAACCAATTCGGTGATCAATACTTGAGATGACTATATGGTAATGATATGGAAAGGCTGCTACGAATCTGAGAGGAGCGTGGATTTCCGAGCATGATCAGAAGCATTGATTGTATGCACTGGGAGTAGAAAAATTGTCCGACGGCATGGAAAGGACAATATCAAGGCAGAAAAGGGGTAGCCACTCTTATACTAGAGGTTGTTGCTAATCAAGACTTGTGGATTTGACATTCTTTCTTCGGGATGTTGGGTACTTACAACGACTTAAAAGTACTACACCGATCTCCTGTGTTTGAGGATGTGTTAGAGGGGCATACTCCTCTTATGAGCTTTGTTGTTAATGGACATCAATACAACAAGGGGTATTACCTTACTGACGGTATTTATCCCAAGTGGGCTACTTATGTGAAGTCTATCACTAGTCCGCAGACTTAGAAATATAAATTATTTGCACAACATCAAGAAACAGCGAGGAAAGATGTTGAGCGAGCTTTTGGAAACTACAATCTCGTTTCGCTATAACTCGAAAACCATCTCTTGCTTGGGATGTTCAAATACTTCATAAGATTATGTTATCGTGCATCATATTGTACAACATGATCGTTGAAGATGAGCGAGATATGAAATTGAACAACTCTGACACGTTTCTCTTCATTGACAGCTAAAGTGGTTCCAACAAGGATGCTTTCGAGTATCGTAATGAGCGTGTGGTAGACATCAACATATACTTGCAATGAAGAACAGAGATTAAAGATCAACAAGCTCACTTGCAATTAAAACATGATTTGGTTGAGCACATTTGGAGGAAATTTAGGCATACCGAGAACAACAACAATTAGATTCCAATTCCATTAACGGTTACGTATGTGTTATTTCTAATGCACTTAGGTGGGTTTTTTTTCAAATTTGCAATTAATAAAAAAATTGTAAATCTTTTGCATACCCCCGATTTACAGTATATTAATGTAAATCGGGTAGCTCACACGTGCCAAGTTATTTCCTATAAAGTGATCTATGCAGCTAGAGGAGAGAGAAAGTGAAACAATGCAACAACAACAACAACAACAACAACAACAACAACAACAAAAATCTCCATTAAAGAAAAGGGAACTCTTACATCCATTCTTCGATCATCTACGGTGAAATTGTCAAATCAATTAAATTTCTCAAATTGCAAAAACCTCACGGTTTACTACAATAGTACAATGATGAAGGCATATTCAAACTCCATTGATAAAATAAATTAGGAGTTCGAAGGTTTCCATTGAAATCGACCTTAATTGTGCGATTATAGAAGACTGAAAAAGTGTATGTTGGAGATGAAATCAAACCAATTGATTATGAAAATAGCATTCCAAACTCTCCATTTGGGGAAAACAAATACTAGGTAATTTATCATTGTTAATCAATTTGTTTTGGATATTTGTTGTTTAAATTAGATTCATGTAGAAATTGAAAATCCAGAATAAAAATTAGAGGTTAGAATCAATCTTCTAATTGAAATTCACATAAACTCTAGAAATGTTACCTTTTTATCCATAAAAGTTACCCTTTTATCCATAGAAGTTACCCATAAACTCAAAAAATTATCCTTAATCTCACAAAAAGTTACCCTTAAACATACAAAAGTTACCCATAAATCAAAAATTAAAATATCATGATATCAAAATCATAACACCAAAAACTTACAAAATTAAGAAGATCGACAATCTCTAGAACCAAAATTCCCCAAAAAAAAAAAAAAAAAAAAAAAACCGAGATAACGTAGTAGTCTTCTTCATCGTAAAAAGCAGTAAAAATATCACCAAAGAAACAAATGAAAAAAAAAGAGAGAGAAAGAGAGAAAGTTTTCTGAAATAAAGAAAAAATTGAATGAGGAGAGAGAAAAGTTATTGAAATAAATTTGGGTAGGTAATGTCCCACGTGCAGTAACACACTTTCTTTCCTATTCCTTTTCGCCATTTAATAAGTTTATTGTACATTGGCCATAATTAAACATTTTGTATTCCGCATTTAAATTAATAAATTAATTAATAACGCTAATTATGCTAATCGTAATTCATAAACAATTAACAACGCTAATTACGATAATTTAGCTAATTTTGCATGCACATAACACTAATCGTAATTAACTAATAGTTTGCGTAACTAATTTCAGTAATAATAACGGTGATAATATTCAATTACATATCACATGAGATTAATATATTGTAAAGTACTCGTATGTATGTATTTTAATTTTTAGTAAAAGATAAATTGAGGTGGGGTAAGTGAATAGTAACATAAACAATTTTTTTTGGTTCATGATTAAGAGAAGGATGTTGGAAATTATTTGTTTGGTTGATGTATATGAGAGAAAAAATATTTTTTTTTTTGTAAATAGTAATATGAACAATTTTTTTTTTGGAAAATTTGTCAGAAAAAACCTTTTAAAAGCATTATTTTGAGAAAAAAAAACCTTTTAAAAGCTTTTTGGTTGAGCAAAACCACCACGTTCATTTTTTTTTTTTTGCGAGAGAAAACCCTTTTCCTTAATTATGCTCTTAATTAGACTATAATTTCCTCTCATTTCTTTTAATTAACCTCTAACCCGCTCAATTGCTTAATAATTAGATTTAATTTACATATAAAAAAATCGCCACCCCAACCACCAACCAACCACCCCTTCCCCTTCTTCCTCCCCTCCCCACTCCCCTAGCAACAACCCCCTCACCAACCTGACCCGCCGCCCTAATACCCCACCTCCGGCGACCTACCTCTACCGCCGGTTGACCCTTCCTTTCCCCCTTATCCCCGTTGGCGACCACCAGCTCCCTTCAAATTTTTGGCTCTTATTTACTCAAACATGCTCAAATCAAGTCCAAATTAGTTGCAATTTGCTTCTAAATCACCCTAGCATTACATACATACATAATCAAAACCAAAACAAGCATCAATTACAAGCAAGATGCACAAAATTAAAAACCCCAAATCGATTTTCTAGGGTTTTTCAAAATCAAGGAGGTGGTTGTCATCGGTGGTGATACGAAGGAAAGGGAGGGTCGTCCGGCGGTGGAGGAGGTCGCCGGAGGTGGAGGGATCTGGGCAGCGAGTCTGGTGGGGGAGGGGGTTTTTGCCAAAGAAGGAGGAAAGGGAGGATAAAGGAGAGGGGGTGGTGTTTTGGGTAAAAATACTCTAGCCACGTGGCCTAGTCAGAAGGTGACACATGTCACCATAGGAGAGGTTCTAAGTGAACCAATCCCCAGCTGACACGTGGCACTCCCAATCAGCAGGGAAAAAGACGGCCTTCAAGGCCCAATTCCCAAGGAAAGCCGCAAAACAGCGCACCCCCCCCCCCCAAATCTAGGTCAGAATGACCTAGGTATGGCACATTTACCAGCGACCCTATAAATAGGGAGATTTTCCCCATTATGGGGACACGTTCATTTATTAAAATACAATCAATTCTCTCACATCAGAGAAAACCCCTTATCTCGAAATCCGAGAAGATCTAGATTTACCTTTTCCAAACCTTTTCACTTTCTCCGTACACGTTCTAACTTAATCGTCGGGGCGGAACTCCACCCAAGCGGAGTCTCCGTTGTTTTGCAGGTATAGGCGCTCGGAATCCAGTCTTGGTGACGTAACTCTCTCGAGGGACACAGAAAACCCTGAAACATTTGGCGACGTCTGTGGGGACAGTACCACTAAGATGGTTTCTCAAGAGATTGTACCGCCTCATGAGAATAAGGAGCCTACGGCTGAGGTCTATTTAGACCATGATACGGAACCAGAGGTCGAAACATATACGACCGCAGATGAATCCCTCATTACAAGGTGCATCTGTTCCAAAGACACAAGGAACGGGGTGATGGTCAGGCAGGTCCGAGTAAGTCATCCGGCCAGCCCCAGGCGGCAGGACAGTCTGCTCACATCACCCAAGACGAGCTCATGAAATTCATGACAAGTTTCAAGGGAAAGATGAAGGACCTAATCTCCAAGAGGACGGCTGGTCCCAGTAGGGGTCAGTCGGCCAAGAAGCGCTCTCAGGTTGGTCCAAGCAGGTATTCTCAATATGTTCAAAAGATCCTGTCAAGCGGCCTGTCCGTCCATACAGGTCCTCAGATGATCGGCTCGGCCCCGTATGTGCCTCAGCAGCCATACAAGCCGTTTTCCCAGCCTTACATGCAGCCTGCCCTCTTCGAGGGTCAGGCGGCATATAACGTCTAGCAACTAGACTGGCGGCTTCGTCTGCTTAAACTTAGAGAACAACCTTCTGCGTTATCCAAGGAGATAACCGAGGCGGCACAGCCGGCCAAGGATAAGAATGTCATGGTGGGTACTTATGATGGTATCATCAACCTAGAAGACCACCTGTTGACATACACCCACCTCATGTATTTGCAGGGGTTGGATGACGCCGCATGGTATAGGTGCTTCCCAGCCATGCAGAAGGGCATTGCCCAGCAGTGGTTCGGAAATCTCCTGAATGGGTGCATCAACAACTTTAGGATGCTTGCGTTCTTGTTCGCCTCAAATTTCTTCATGAACATACCCGCCAAAAAGACAAGCCTTGACTTGGGCGCGATACAACAGGGAGACAGGGAGGGGCTCCGCTCATATGTCAGGTGGTTCAATCTGGTGACAATCCAGATCCAAGGACTGTCTGACGATGTTGCTTACACAAACTTATTCAAGGGTCTGAAAGACGGGTCAGCCTTCAAGTTCGACCTCTTCCGGAAGAGGATCTCCACTCTTCAGGAAGCACTGATGGAGGCGGAAGCCTATATACAGGAGACCGAGCTCTACTCCACCAGCAAGCAGTCGGACTCAAAGAAGTCCGACAAACAAAAAGGGAGTCGGCAAGAACAACCGGCTCACAAAGCTGAAGAGAGCAAGAAGAGAAAAGAGATCTAGGCGGTTGAGAATTCTGATCAACCGTCCCAGAAGAAAAAGAAGAGTTTAAACGTCACGTCCCAAAGTACGAGTTTAACAAAGACTGCTACTCCATCCTCATGGAGATAAAAGACCGGGTGATTATTGAGAAGCCCGCAACAATGAAAGGTCCGGCCAAAAACCGGAATAAAGACAAGTACTGCCACTACCATGAGGATATTGGCCATGACACCAACGACTGCTATAGCCTCAAAAGGATTTTGGATAGATTGGCTGATAGGGGTGTTGAAATTTTGCATCCTCAAGTCTAAGGTAACCCTGAAGAGGGACCCTAGAAAGTTATCAAAAAAACAAGCAAAGCCTACAAGTAGTTCAGACACTAACAAGGAGCCGATCTACACCATAGCAGGCGACTTTGCCGGAGGGGGGCCGACAATCAGGGGCACCAAGGACCATATTAGACGGCTGGATGTCAGCTCCGTCGATGAGGGCTTGGCGTCTACCAACAAATTCCCTGAGGTCATCATCACTGAAAAAGGACCGGGGCAAAGTCCGTCGACCGCATGATGACCCTATTGTCATGGAAGGCAAGGTGGCCAACCAGAAGGTTGGCCGGATCCTAATTGATACGAGTAGCTCGTCTGACATCATCAGCTACAAGTGTCTGTCCAAGCTGAAGTACAGGAGCATGCACAAGGTCACTCACCCCTTGATTGGTTTTGGGGTGGAGTTGTGCACCCAGTCGGCCGGATTGACCTACCCATCCGGCTGGGGGAGAAGGGAGAGGGGAGTCGCATGGTCGTCCGGTTCTTGGTCGTATAAGAGCTGACCGCCTATAATATGATTTTGGGCTGTCCGACTCTGAACGAATCTAAGACCGTCATCATCCTATCCCTCATGTTGCTGAAATTTGAGAAAGATGACAGTTCTGTTGGCTCCCTGAATGGGGACCAGAAGACGGCTAGACAGTACTACCTCTCAGACGTCACGGCGACAACAGCCGGTCAGGGTGAGGAGCCAATAGACCTTGATGATGTCAAGGAGCTAAAGCCTGCCCCACAAGCAGCCGGTAAGAAAATAAAGGCCGACCAGCTGGTGGCTGCCAAAAAAGAGAAGCAATAGCAATCATTGACCGGGGAACATATGGATCTCGTCATCGATTACACACGTCCGGAGCGTATTGTAAAGGTTGGGACTGTTGCTTTTGCAAAACTGGGTGTAGATTTGCACCATCTGCTGAAAGAATTCAAGGACATTTTTTCCTTTGAAGTGGAAGAGATGCCAAGCATCAGCCCGAATCTCGTTGTTCATAATCTCGTCGTGGATCCAAAAAAGAAGACTGTTAGGCAAAAGAAAAGAAATCACGGCGATGAGAGATCTCAAGCGGCAGCCATCGAGGTCAAGAAGCTGTTAGACGCCGGGTTCATTCGGCAATGTCACTTTCCAGACTGGGTTGTGAATGTTGTTCTTGTAAAGAATTGAAGCCGAATGATACCTGGCGCATGTGTGTTGATTACATTGATCTGAACAAGGCATGTCCGAAGGAAAGTTACTCACTTCCAAAGATCGACTGTCTAGTTGACTCCTCAGCCGGTCAGGTGACAAGTGTCTCTGTTTTTTCCAAGCAATTAGGTAGAAGACCATGTTTGAATGGGGGGGGGTGATGCTGAGGTGGCCTTTCAAAAATTGAAAGAGCATTTACACTCTTTGCCAAGGCTTGTTAGCCCTCTGCCCAAGGAGACGCTTTACATGTACTTAGCCGTCTCAGATCATTCTCTCAGTGTTGTTCTCCTTGCAGAAAGAGACGATTATCAGCTCCCGGTCTATTTCATTAGCCATATGCTTCGAAATGCAGAGCTCCGGTACTCTATTATTGAAAAATTCGGTCTCCCCTTGTTCATGGCAGTCAAGAAGTTAAAACCTTACTTCTTGGCACATCCAGTGGTAGTCTATATAGACCAACCCCTCAAGCGGCTAATGACAACTTTAGAGTCATACGGGCGAATGATCAAATGGGTTATTGGAATGCAAAGTCTTGAAATCACTTTCGAAACGAGGAAAGCAGTGAAGGGTCATGCGTTCGCTGACTTCATTGTTGAATTGACAAGGCCGGTTGAACCGGAAAATGTTTATCAGGTTTGGAAAGTGTATGTAGACTGGAGCTCTACTATGAACAGTTGTGGTGCAGGGATTATATGTCAGTCTCCTAAGGGGGACAAGTATGTATATGCACTACGGTTCAAGTTTCAAGCCTTAAACAATGAGGTTGAGTATGAAGCCCTGCTAGCCTGTATACGCATCTGTAAGGCGGTAGGGGCAAGAAAATTTGACGCATGCTCTGATTCTTAGTTGGTTGTTAGCCAATACCATGGTGACTATGAGGCTACCCATTCGGCTATGATCAAATACTTGCAGGCGGTCAGAGCAGAGGCTGGGACACTTAATGAATTCCATCTAAGTCAAGTGCCCCGATCAGAGAACAACCAGGCGGATGCTATTTCTAAGTTAGCATCATCCGCCTCCTGTGATATGCCTTGGTCAGTCTTCTGGGAGGTAATGGAAAAACGAAGTATTAAAGAAGATCCCACTAATGTCATGGACCGAAGCTCAACCTAGATGGACGGCATCCGCGCCTATCTACTAGACGGCACTTTGCCGGATACATATCCAGAAATGGCTGCAATGAAAAAACGTGCGGCTAACTTTGAGATTCACAATGGAGTGCTTTTCAAGAAGGGTTTTTTGCAACCTCTTTTGAAATGCATCACCCCAGAAAGGTGGCAAGAGATTCTAGAAGATCTGCACTCGGGCTTTTGTGCCTCACACATAGGCGGCAAGTTTCTAGCAGAAAAGGCCAGGCGGCAAGGCTACTTTTGGCCCACTCTTGAGGTAGACGCCATGGAAATAGTTAAGAAGTGTGACAAGTGTCAAAGATTCGGCAGACTCATACACCGTCTGGCCACTAACCTGACGGCCATTTATAGCCCAGTACCAGTCGCCAAATGGGGCATGGACATTCTGGGTCCGTATACGCTTGCGCCAGGCAGATGGCGGTATATTCTAGTTGTCGTTGACTACTTCACCAAGTGGTTAAAGGTAGAGGTGGTCAAAGGCATTAAGACAAAGGTGTCATCTCCATCATCTAGAAGAACATCATCATCCGGTTTGGGGTACCTATGTTTATGCTTTTCGACAATGGTCCTCAATTTGAGACGCCTACCCTCAACAATTGGCTGGGAGACCAAGGGATCTCCCACTATTTTGCTTTAGTCGACTGTCTCCAACAAAACGGCCAGGTTGAAGCTCAACAAGCTTATCTCAGACGGCATAAAAAAGAAAATTGAAAGGGCTGGCGGTCTATGGGCAGAAGAGTTAACTCATGTCCTATGGGCTGTCAGAATAATAGCAAAAGGGGAAATCGGAAAAACCCCATTTCTTATGGTATACGGTGCTGAAGTCGTCATACCCATTGAGCTTTATGAGCCAACTCTTCGAATCATGTTGTATGATGAAGAGGCAAATTGGGAGGCCATGCGGCTGACGTTGGACTCACTTTTGGAAACGCAGGGGCAATGCTGCCTTGCGTCATGAGATATACGGTCTGAGAATGACAAGAGCCTACAACAAAAGAGTGCACAAACGGCCCTTAAAAGTGGGGGACTTTGTGTTACGGAAAATGGAGGCAACCGGTAGGGCCAATGAGCAAGGCAAGCTAACACCCAATTGGGAAGGTGTAACAGCCTAGAAATCCCTTTCCTCTAAAATACTTGTTTTGCCCTTTTTGAAATACGAAATAGGAAAATCTAAGACATTATCGCCACTTGAAAACAGCTAAGGCAAATATCAAAGACACACAGCTAAAGACTTTCTTTAAAACCATTCAAAACAAGTCAACTTAAAAAGTCAAACCAAACGAAAGTAAAGTCAAACCAAAATCAAACAAATTCAAACAAAGTAAAACAAAGTCAACCTACAACTTGGAACCATTGTAGGCCCTTAAAACCAAACAATATTGAAAACCTTTAAGTTAGTCTCAAGAGCAAAATAAAATAAATAATATTCAAAGCAGATAAAAGACATCATATTCCTATGAGAACTAAGCATGAATCGCTTTTCACTCAAGCCCATCATGAAAATGCTTCATCACCTGAAAAACATCTCTCTACTTGTCCCCACTATTCGCCATTAGAAATGGATCGTCGTAGGGCTAAGGTAAAGACAAGGCCAAACAAACATACAACACACAATCAACAATGCTGAGTACATAAGAGTAAATAAAACACACTAACATGATTTCATCCTATTATCACACGACTTACCTTGTTGCACCTGTAAACAAGCATACAAGACATTCAACACTTAACTAGACAAATACCGCCAATGTCCATTTAATTTTGATTACGCATCGAACGGGTTTCCAACCAAATCCCTGCTCCAAATAAATTGAGGTAAACTACATCGGGAGCTAACCGGGTAGGCAAATGTCACATGAATTGGCTGGACGTCCTGCGCATAAACTAAATAAAAAGGAAAATACAGCGTCCTGTACTCCCAGTAGAAGTTATGGTCAAATATAATGTCTCATAACTCTCCCCATATGTTCATACTCAAGGTATATACGTTCCAAGAGTTTTGGTGCGTAATCTATTTCACTTTACGTTATTTACATGTTATTATACTTGGTGATGGCTCTCAAACCATAACACAATCAAACATTATACTTCATTCAAGCAATCAAACATACCAATTTAATTCTTGAATAATTAGTGACTGACGAGGGTTAAATCGGTCGCTACAATCTAACTCTCAATCAAACAATACTTATACGAACACCTTATAACCAAGTACAATGGCAAATAAAGGTTCGGTCCACGAGGAACGAGAGTAATTGCAAATCAATCTTAAACCTAAGCTAGTTCAAAATCAATGGAAAATGGTGTTCTAAAATACTACTAATAAGATGGGATAAACCAGATAAACTAAGACACTAGGGAAGACGGGAATTCACCAAACCATCGGTA